TGTGGAGATGGGGAGAAGACAACCATCCACAGCCAAGAAGAAGAAAACCTTGACCTCAGACTTCCAAGTCTCTAGAACTGTGAGAAAATATATTTCTATGGTTTAAGGCACTCAGTCTGAGGCACTTCGTTATGACAGCCCTAGCAAACTAATAGAGGGCGATGGATACAGACAGGCAGGGAGGCCCTCGATAGAGCCTGGTTTCCTTGGCCTAGCCACATGGAGCTTCTTAACTGAGCCCGGGGCCCGACTTGTCAATCCTCAGCATCCCTGTAGACTCCGAGTCAGTCTTGAGGTCACTGAGGCGACTCTGCAGCGTGGCCCACACTGTGCCTCGGGACTGGCCCTGACTTAGAGGCCCAGCTCACTTAACCTCTGCCCTCCCCTCTGGTTCATTTTTCAGTCAATCCATAAACTTCACGTGGTACTACTGTGGCTGTTCCCTAAGTTGTGGCACGGCTGGTGGATCAGCTAAGGTCCAGTCTGGAGAGTGGAGACCACTCTAGGAATTTCAAACAGAAGGGATGGAATACAGGGAATTGTGTATTCAGATGCTGGAAGAGCTGAGATGCCAAAGGGCAGGGTGAGGCACACCCCAGGAGGAGCTACAGCTGGAGGCCCAAGGGACAGAAGGAGAATGTTGTATCGAGAGATCCTAGAAGCTAGGGCTAGAACGCCAGGGGGGCTGCCTGGTGGAAACTGGGACCAGGAAGGGAGGGCCTATTGGGAAGAGACTGGTTTTCTTTGCTCTTAGATGCATTTCCTGTCCTTCCCCTGTTCTGCTCTGAATCACAGAGGGGCTGACCTCTGCAGGCTGCATTTCCCAGGCTCCAGCTCAGCTGCCTTCTCAGTGGCCAATGGGGCGTCCTAATGGGAGACTGGAGGCCAGAGGGAGGGGAGGAAGCAGAGTATTTCTCCCTTTCTCCTTACACCTTGGGCTGCATCCCCATCAACGACAGAGTCTTCTCCGTGGCTCCATTTCTCTCAGGACAGTCCACTTTGCTTCTAGTTTTGCTGGGTGACCACAAGTCCCAGGCTACTGTAACTTTACCTCCCCCCTCGGTCCCTTCCAGCTTAGAGGTGGCAGTGGCTTTCTGTTGCTGCAAACCTTTGAGCTTCTTGGCAGTCTCTTGCTTGGCTTCTGGGTGCCCCCATCATCTCTGTAACCACCTCCCTGTTGGAAAGTCTCTCTGTTTAAATGCTCAGTGTTTTCCAGGTTAAACAGTGATTAATACGAGGAACGGATATGAGAGCAAACTGACAAATGGCCAGCCCCGCAGGCCTCTCTAGGCCCCTCCCCTTTCTTAGAGACAGAAAACCTAGCAGCCTGCAGATGGGGAGAGGCAGCTAGGTGCTGGGGGATCGAGGGGTGGCCTTAGTGTAAGATGAGCCTCCTTTTGTTCTCTCTCTGCCACTTGTCAGCTCTGTGAACTTTGTCAAGTTACTTCCCCTTTGTGGCCTCAATTTCCTTACCTGTCAGGTGGGATAAGGGTCATCCCCATCGATTCGGTGCTGTTCTGAGGGTGATGAGATGTGGCCTGAAAAGAACTTAGCCACAACCTTAAAAAAGACTAGGGAAGAGGAGTCTCCTCTATCAGCAGCTAAAAGGCATATGCCATTATAATAAAAAGTCGGGTGCTGGTGCAGTGAGGCAGAGCAGGGGTGCCAGAGCCACCCCCCCACACGGGAGAAGTCAATGTACAGTAAAGGCCACCCCACAGCCCACTCGGGGAAGGAGAGATTGTTCAGGAGATGGTGTTGGGAAACCAGCCCCAGATGAAACTGACCTCACACTGCTAACAAAGGTGGACTCTAGATGGATTAAGACCTAACTTGAAGTACAAACTTGTGAAGTTAGTAGAAGTTATACGCACACAATGGAATACTATTCAGCCATGAAAAGGAAAAATTCTGACTCATGCTACCCCTGGATGGATCTTGAAAACATTATGATGAGTGAAATAAGCCAGTCACAGGACAAATATGAGGTACCAAGAATATATGATTGTGTGTGATTGACATATATGAGGTCCCGGGAATAGTCAAATTCATAGAGGCAGAAAGTAGATTAGAGGTTTCCAGGGGCTTGGGGGAGGTGGAGACAGATGGGGTTATTGTTTAGTGGGGACAGAGTTTCTCTTTGGGTTAAAAAAATGTTCTGGAGATGGATGGTAATGATGGTTGTGCAACACTATGAATGTACTTAATACCACTAAATTTGCCTTTAAAAAAGGCTAAAGCGGTAAATTTTATGTTATCTATATTTTACTTGAATAGAAAAACATCAATGTGCCCGGCCGGGCGTGGCTCAGCGGTTGAGCATTGACCTAGGATCCAGGAGATCGTGGTTCGATTCCTGGTCAGGGCACATGCTGGGTTTCGGGATCAATCCCCGGTCAGGGGCGTGCAGGAGGCAGTCGATCAATGACTTTCTCATCGTTGATGTTTCTACCTCTCTTCTCTTATCCCTTCCTCTCTCTGAAATCAATAAAGACATTTTTTTTTTTTTAAAGCATCAATGTATAAAAGGTAAAAAAAAAAAATTTAAAAATTATTTTGATTACATCAAAATGAAGGAATTCTGGCCAAAGGGACAAAATTAATAGATAGATGTCAGGGTGTGAAGACATTGCAGTGTCTAAAATTGCAGTGCTTAGAATATATAAGAAACTGGCAAATAAACGACCGAAAAGACAATGGCCCCGATGGAAAAAGGACAACGGGTGTGAAGAGCAATTTACAGAAAGGGAAAACCACAAGCACACGAAGAAGGCTCAGAATCATTAGTAATAGGAAATGCAAATGCAAAAGGAAAAACCACCACCCTGGAGGAAGCACTTTACATCTAGGAGACTGGCAAAAATTAAAAAGTCAGACCACACCCAGATTTGGGTGTCAAAATCTTCATTCTCCACTAAAATGAACCTGGGCAGGACTAAGGAAAGTAAAAACTGAGCCTGGAACATCTTGTGCCTGAAAATAAGGAAATGCTCAACAAATAATGGTGCTGTGGTGCAAGGACGCAGGAGTCAGCTGAAAGGGGCTGACACTGGCCAAATCTGGGTCAATTTGAGCCTCAAAATAAGTAATGGTAGCGATGGGTTTAGAACTCATGAAATAAAAGAAAATCCGCATTGATGTAAATGAATAAACAGAGAGGTGACCATGTGATTTTAAGATATATCCACAAATTCTTTGACAGTCTTCTCAAGAGGTGGAATCTAATTCACTTCCTCTTGAGTGGGGCTGGACTCAGCGATTCCATTCTAATGAGTAGATTATGGCAGAAGTGACGCTGTGCTGGAAAAGTGGGTCATAAAAGGCATGTGCTTCCTTCTTGCTCTCTCTGATCACTCTCTCCGGGGAAGACAGCTTCTATGTCATAAGGACACTGAAGCAGCCCTAAGAAGAGGCCCATGTGGTGAGCACTGAGCTGTCCCATACAATAGCCACTGGCCACATATGGCTGTTAGGCACTTACGATGTGGCTAAGTCCAAACTGGAAGGCACTGTGTTACATATACTGAATTTCAAAGACTGCATGAGAAAAAAGATGTCAAATATCTCATTAATAATTTTTTATATTGAGAATATGTTGAAATGAAAAGGTTTAGGTATATTGGGTTAAATAAACTATATTACTAAAATGATTTTACCTGTGGCTTTTTAAACTGTGGCTACCAGAAAATTTAAAATTAAACATAAACATGTGGCTCACATTTAATTCTACTGGACAGTGATGCTCCAGCCCCAGTTGAGCTTTCGGATAACTAGCCTCAGCTGACACCTTGACTGCACCGTCTCAGAGACTCAAAGCCAGAACTTCCAGCCAAATCTCTCCTGAATTCCTGGCCCACAAGAACAGTGAGGAAATGAATGACTATTATTTTAAGCTGCTCTTTGGGGGTCATTTATTACATAGCAGTTTCTTGACTGAGGCAAGCAAATAAATGGACGTTAAAATCAGTGGGTGAAAGTTGGAGGAATAGCACTATGTTTAAGAGACCAAAGTGGCAGGGCAACTGCATGGAGAGTAAGTTGCAGACACCGGTACACCTCACCCCTAACCACTTCATCATGAGCTAGAGGTCACCATTCGTTCCTTTGTCTGTAAAACTTACACTCAGTGAAGTGCACACATCCAAGGTGTACTTTAGGTTATTTTAGACAAATGCATCTACCTGTGTTATACAAACTCTTTCCAAGATATTGAACACGCAGTGGATTGCATTGTGTCCCTCAGAAAGATATTTTCAGGTTCTAACCCTTGGTACTTGTGAATGCAACCTTATTTGGAAATAGGGTCTTGTAGATATAACCAAGTTAAGAAGAGATCATATTGGATTAGGGTGGGACCTAAATCCAATGACTGGTGTCTTTATAAGAGAAAGGAGAAGGAGATTTGAACACAGACACACAGGGGAAGAGGGCCATGCACAGACAGAGGCAGTGATCGGAATGATGTACCTACAAGCCAAGGGAATGCCAAGGACTGCTGGCAGCCACCAGTACCTGGAAGAGGCAAGGAAGGATTTTGCCCAAGAGCCTTCAGAGGGAGCATGGCCATGATTTCAGACTCCTGCATGTTGTTTTAAGCCACCTAGTTTGTGGTATTTTGTTATGGAAACCTTAGGAAAGTAATACAGAACATTTACCCCAACTCCAAAAAGTACCTTGGGCCCCTGCCCAGTCTCCTGCCCGCCCCAGCTATATTTTTCATCATAGATTAATTTAGTTTTGCTTATTCTAGAGCTTCATGTCAGTGCAACCATGCAGCATGTGTTCTTTTGTGTCTGGTATCTTTCACTTGGCACAAGATTTTGGAGTCATCCAGATTGTTGCATCTGTCAGGGGCCGGCACGCCTATAATTAAAGTCAATTTGCTGAAAGGGGAGCAGATTTTGAAGTTAAGGAGAGGAGTGGACAACGAGGATGGGAAATTTCTCTTCAAAGCAGGGCTTGGAGCCCCCTGCTTTGGGGTTTCTGGCCCACAGACCTACCTGTGCTCTCAGCTCAGGTAGCATCTGGGGAGTTTGGAGGCTGGGCTCCATCGCCACCTGGTGGCCATTTGAGACAATGCACCCACAGGTGCCAGCACTGGGCCCCCTGGGTGGGGAGACTGCGGGGTCAGGCAAGTGTTCCTCCTCTTGGTTAGGGTCCTCAAATCACTGAGCACCTACTCAGCACCTGCACGATTCCAGTGTGTGTGTGTGTGTGTGTGTGTGTACAGAGATGACTTAGATTGGCCTGACCTCGAGGGCCTTCCAGGAGAGGGAGATTACTCAAAACTAACTCTAATAGGGGTGGAATGAGATCCTAGAGGCACAAAGTGTAGAGAGCACAGAGGAGGCAGAGAGTAATTTGACTTAGACACTCAGGGAAAGTTTCTCTGGGCATTTCTCAGCTGGAGGTGAAAGGGAAGGGTGTTAGAGGCAGAGGGAACAGCACAAGCAAAGGTGTGGAGGCAGGACCATGGAATGTATGGCTTTCTTTCTTTCTTTCTTTCTTTCTTTCTTTCTTTCTTTCTTTCTTTCTTTCTTTCTTTCTTTCTTTCTTTCTTTCTTTCTTTCTTTC